AAATGATCCAATGATGTGCAGACTTAAAGAGAGAATTTAAAATGAAGTACAGTAGAAAGATTATAGAACACACAGTCCTTATTATGCATGCTATATACAGTACCAGTATTTATATTTACATTTACTGTGCATGTTTGTGTGTGTTTGACTTTGTTTCTTGAATGTTTCTGGGAATAAAAAGGAGTCCGTATACTGTAAGATTAAATAAAGTGGAACAAGAATCATAGTGATACACAAGACTCATACTGATGGTCTTCTCTCTTAATGAATTTTCTTTTTAAAAAAACAAGCATTTGGAATAAAGCGCCACTATTTTTAAACTAAGAGGGCTTTTAAAGTTTAATGTTTGCAAACAAATATTCAGTACAAAAATGACTATTTTCCACACCAAAGAGATCTATGTAGAAGGTGTAGTGTTCAATTAAAAAAATATGGCTGCTGCTTTCTGTAACTTCCCCATGTTTTTGACTACAGATTCAGTAGAGTGTACTGACTGTCCTGAGGATCACTGGTCAAATGCTGCAAGGACAGGTTGCTTAAGGCCTGGCAGTAATGTCATGAAATGGTTTGGACCCAGGCAGCAACGGATGATCATTTTTGCATGTACTGCAGTACAAATAGTCACCTGTACTATATGGCTGATAGCTGCTCCGCCATTCCCCCTTAAAAACACTGTCTATCAGAGGTCAAGGATCATACTGGAGTGTAGCACTGGCTCTGATTTGGCTTTCTGGTGTGTACTGGGCTACATTGGGGTTTTGGCTTGTTTGTGTTTTGTTCTTGCCATTTTAGCTAGGAAACTGCCAGACAATTTTAATGAGGCGAAGTACGTTACATTCAGCATGCTCATCTTTTGTGTCGTGTGGCTGGTTTTTATACCTGCGTATGTCAGTTCACTGGGAAAGTACACTGTGGCTGTTGAAATATTTGCAATTGTTTGTGTATACATTTGCTCCAAAATTTCATTTTATTTTATTCAACCCTAAAACTAATATAAAACAATACTTGATAAGAAATGTTAATCTAGGAATAAAACTAGAGAAGACTTCGTTTTAAATTTATATTGATTTTATAGTGCACTTTCTTCCGTTTTCCTTGTTTAATGTACAGTATGGTTGAAAGCTATCATAGGATGTGAATGTATCTAGATGCTGCTGCTTGTCATTCAATACTAATCTTTTAATAAACTTTTTAATTGTATTACTGTTTGAGTAAATTATTCTATATTATAAGATTGTTGTGCATATTTTTATAATGATATTAAACTATAATTTGCTTACAATAAATAAAACATATCAACGGTATATGAAAAATAAACAGTACATATTAGTTCAGGTGGGTAGCTGTGTCAGCATGTGTAGGCTGCAAAGGAACACGTAATAGGTTTATTCCATGCTGAAAAAAAAGAAGAAAGAAAACACAACATTTTGGCCGTGGAGCCTTCTTCAGGTGACAGGTCACACCACGGCCGAAACGTTATGTGTTCTTCTTTTTTTCAGCATGGAAGAAACCAATTAACAGTACATATTTACTTTTACATTCTTTGAGATATCAACCCCCTAAATATCTGTCTACAGAAAAATAGCAAGCAACCAAATAGCAAACAATAGAAAGCAGTGAAAAACATACACTAGGTAAAGTAGTTCAGATATGTAACTGCGTCAATAGAGAATGCTGTCTTGAATATGTATAAATAATAGTTTAATTTTCGAAAGCCAAAATGTAATTTTGATTGGAGAATCATTCCATCTACAATAGATAGAGTGAAAAGAGGAGTACCTCAGGGCCCAGTGTAGGGACCCTGGCTTTAGGCCAATGTATATACACTAAAACTGGGTCATGGTTAAGAAAAGCGAATCAATTTTTAGTATTTCTAAATAGTACCTATTATAAACATTGAAGAATTTCAGATATATTTAATTACTAATTCCAAATGGTCGAAACAACAAACCAATCTAGACTTGATTAGGCTGATTTATGTCAAAATCAGCTACAGCAAACGTAAATAAAATTTGCATCAGCGAGAGAAGTTATTATTTTTGTTTTCGTTATCCATATTGTAATCGCCTCTTAGAATACAGGGTTGTGTGGGAGCCAAAACCTATCTTGGCAAGCAACAAGTGAAAGATAATATAGTATCACTTTATTAGCCATATACAATTTCTTGCATTAGGAATTCATCTTTTCACATACCCCAGCTTGGTCTTCATGAGACACAGACAGGAAGAGAAGCTTGGGGTGAGAGTCCAGGGTCAGCCATTGTGCAGCACCCCTGGAGCAGTTGGGGTTAAGGGCCTTGCTCAGGGGCTCAACAGAGTAGGATTTCTCTACCAACAATGGGATTTGAACTGGTAACCTTCCAGCCACAGGTGCAGATCCTTAGACACAAAGCCACCACTCCACCCGAAGGCAGGGTACACTCCAGACGGAACACCAACCTACAAGGGTATATCCGCAGACACACACATACTCACGTCTAGGGCAAATTTTCCCAGAAGCCCATTATACTACCAGTACATTTTTGGAGTTTTGGAGGAAACCAGAGGAAACCCATGTGAACACAGGGAGAACATGAAAACCCCACAAGGATAGCACCAGGTCTGAAATTGAACCCAGGGCCCCAGCCATACAAGAAAGCAATACTTGCCACTGCACGACCACGCCTCCCTGTTTTCATTACATATCTATTAATTGCAAGATGAATCGAATTATATTTAATAATTTCTGTAGTATCGTCAGTAATCATATACTAAAAGTATCTTACAGCAACACATACCTTCATTTTATTCTAAACTGTAGCTAATTCTAAAATAAGAAAAGAGGAGATAAATCATTACTCTCCATCTACACGTATTAAAAGGGTTGAAATAGTGGTACAGTGGTTCGCATTACTGCCTCACAGCGTTGGGGCCCTGGGTTCAATTCCTTCAAGGAGTTTGTATGTTTACACCATGTTTCCTCCAGCTCTGGTTTGCTACTACAGACTAAAGACATACTGTACCAGTAGGTTAATTGGTTACTGTGAAAAACTGGCCATGGTGTTATCATGTGTATTGGTGACTATGTGTGCCTTGTCATGGACTGGCATCCGATGGAGGGTGTCTTCCATTTTGAGCCTGTTGTTTGCTGGGACAGGCTCTGGCTATAAGCTCTGTCTGCTTTATGCAAACTCAACACATACTAACAAGAGATGTTGTCCATGTCTTTCAATTTTGCAAGGGTTCAACAGAAAGATAGTGTTCTGATTTAATCTAATTTAAAGATGATTTTGACTGATTCCTCTTTATTTCTACCTTATGCATGTTCCATAAGATAACAAAGGAAAATGGTGTCTTCTGTCTTGATGCTTTTGTAAACAAAACCAAAAAAGAATTATGTTCTATAATGCATTTGAGATTTATTTTATTACAAGTCATCTTATCCCACTGTTTAAATGCGACAGGACACAATATGAACCAAATAGTAAAACTACAAATATACTGTAAGCCTCACTTGCATGAAAACTCTAATAAAGACTGACAGCAGTCCCCCAGCAAGTCAATCTGAACTGTGAATCACTATTAGTTAATGAACTTTTCAGCCCCTCAAGGTAGATGTTTAATGTGCTGCATTTAACAGTAGGGAAATCCATTCTCCTTTGGAACATTCAAATTTTACCACTGGGATTTTACAGTTTAGCGAGTGATTTGCTCAATGTAAACACCCTGGGACTCAACCTTCTATATAAATAATTTTGAGATTTTAAAAAAAGCTACTGATTGGTTCAGCACAACAATTGTGAGATGCTACTCTATGCATTAGTGCTGATAGGCGCCTTTGCTACTATCTCAGAAAAACCTGTTTGTAAAATGGTAGGAAAACCAGAATTCCCAGTGTTATCGAAGGATGGAGATGTCATTATTGGTGGTGCCTTTTCCATTCACAGCAAATCTAAAGTCCAGATGACGTTATTTCAAAATGAACCAGAACCTCTGGGATGCTCCAGGTTAGTCTGATTCTGAACAACTCAAAAATTCATACATTTAAAGTTTACAACTTTTTTTACTGAAATATTGAAATTACCAATGATTAATGTAGGAAAACATGCTTCATATTTCTAGTTATATGTGTAATAAAATTGTACAACTATATGGCAGAAAAATAAAGTGAAAGACGTTATTTTATGTAAATTCAAAAGAAAAAAAATGAAAATGAAAACCATGACATTCCAAGGTTTTTCTGTATGTGTGACATCTTATATTAAACATACTCCCTTTAAATGTAATTTAAAAAGTAATTTATTTGGAATTGAATATTTTAACAAAACAATGAATTTTTTACATTATTTTAGCATTAACTTCAGAGAATTTCGCTTCGCACAAACCATGATCTTTGCAATAGAGGAAATAAACAATAGCACCGATTTACTTCCAGAAACGTCCTTAGGCTACAGGATCTATGACAGCTGTGGCTCTATTCCATCTTCCATAAAAACAGCAATGGCTTTAATGAACGGTCAAGAAAAAACAGTGTTGAATGAGTCTTGCACTGAGTCAGGCACAGTTCATGCAATTATAGGAGAATCTGAGTCATCATCAACCATTGCGATGGCAACAACTACAGGACCATTTCATATTCCCGTGGTAAGAAATTTAACCTCTCTGTAATTCTCCCTGTTAAGTGCATCTTTTGTAGTTTTGAAACGTAACATACTGATTTCAAATATCTATAGTAGTGCAAGCAATCAGGAGAAATAAAAAGTCTGAAGGGAGCAAATGCTGTAATTATTGGAAATCCATTGGTTGATATTTTGATTTTGTTACTCATATTATTCTGAAAATTACAACTGCACTTGAACTGGGGGTATATATAGAGAAACTTGTGATTGTATACAGTATACAGGTATGTCACTGTTGGAGACCTACTGTAAAACAGTCCAGCTGGACATATTATACTGTAACTGAGATCAATAGATGTGGCATCATTCTTTCTCTTATGTTAGGCATAAAAATGTTTAAAAATTGAGTGGGAGAAAGCATCTGTGTTGACCTAAGCGACTACAAACTTGCTCCTGACACAACATTTGCATGAAGGACAAGATTTAGATTTGGATTTGGCTGGGTTATTTTGTATAAATTGTTTGAAAATATCCAGCATATGCTGAGCAAGGTTGAAACTCAGAAGAGTTGTGATACAGATCTGTAGTAATTACCGTGTGTGGAAAAATTACCCCATTAATGTAGAATATGAATGAACATGCATTTTGCATTTTCTTAATAACTATCATAAAATACCTAATTTCCTACGCTTACAGATCAGTCACTTTGCTACTTGTGCATGCCTGAGCAACAAAAAACTGTTTCCTACATTCTTCAGAACCATCCCGAGTGACTATTACCAGAGCAGAGCCCTGGCACAGCTTGTGAAGCACTTTGGATGGACCTGGGTTGGGGCCATTAGAAGTGATAATGATTATGGCAACAATGGGATGGTTACCTTTGTAGAAGCTGCCCAACAGGAAGGGGTATGCATTGAATACTCAGAAGCTATTTTAAGAACAAATCCAAAGGAGAAGATTGCTAGGGTTGTAGATATCATAAGGAAAGCAACTTCGAAAGTTCTGGTAGCTTTCTTAGCTCAGGGCGAGATGGAGGTTTTGTTAGAGGAGATCCTACTGCAAAATGTCACTGGACTGCAGTGGATTGGTAGCGAATCCTGGATTACAGCAAGACAACTTGCAACAGAAAAAGCTTCTGAAGTACTGAGTGGTGCAATTGGGTTTGCAATCAACAAGTCAACAATAGCAGGCCTGAAGGAATTCTTATTGAAAATCCATCCATCACAAGCACCCGGTAGTGCTATTCTAAAAGAGTTCTGGGAAACTGCTTTTGGTTGTACTTTATCATCTCAAAGCAAGAGCAATGATACGGAGCATTGCACAGGGACAGAGCAATTAGCACTTTTAAGAAACCAGTACACTGATATATCCGAGCTGAGGATTTCCAACAATGTTTACAAGGCAGTGTATGCTCTTGCACACTCCATTCACAATCTGCTTACTTGTAAAGATGGACAAGGCTCCTTCACAAATGAGACGGGCACTAAGAATAACACGACTGAACCACGACAGGTAAGCAAATGCTTCTTTTTGCATTGGAACTGAGAAAATACACCTTTTACTTCTGAGACTGCAAAGCCAGAAATCTAAATGAAGTCTCTGACAATTCAGTGTCTGATCAAAACCTGAGACTTATAGTATATATAGAGTCTAGGATTCTGCCAGGTGCTTAAAAACATCATAAGTCAAGTCATAGATACAAAATAAGAACTCATTGTTATCCTGGGGAATTTCCCTAAATACCATGAGACAGTACTGCCTTACTCATATTTATAATAACATATTTGTTTTTTATTTTGTAGGTGCTACATTATTTAAAAGGAGTTAATTTTACAACCAGAACTGGAGAAAGGGTGTATTTCAATACAAACGGTGATCCAGCAGCAAAATATGAATTGGTTAACTGGCAGCACACTAGAGACGGAGGAACTACTTTCACAACTGTCGGTCACTATGATGCATCCCTCCCTGCCGGTCAGCAGTTCACCATGAATCTTGTCAACATAGTATGGGCTGGTGATCACAATCAGGTGAGTTTCAAGTAAGAGGACTTTTGTTTTAATTTTTGAGGACTTGAAAAAGTTAGAAAAACTCCACTAGATTAATTATACTAGCATTAATTTAAGTTGTACAAAATTATTGTATCTTATTTTATACTCAAATCAGTAAAATATCAGAGATAAGACACTTACTGCTAACATATCTGTTTTGGGGGGATGGCCAGTGAAAAACATGCCTTCACAGAGTTTCAAGCCATTCCTCTATGAGAATAATCTACACAAAGTTTCTAAATAACAGAAACATTTCTTAAAATTATTTTTCAGTATCATTATGCACTAAAAGCAGTGGAAAAAGTGTAAAACCCTCTAAAATAAGGGATGTGAGTAACATTACGAGGAACCAAACACATGCATTGTGGCTACAAAAACACAAGACTTTTATTTCACAGCAACCTGTGTCAGTGTGCAGTGAGAGCTGTCTTCCAGGCACTCGAAAGGTTGTTCAGAGAGGAAGGCCTGTCTGCTGCTTCTACTGTACACCATGTGCTGAAGGAGAGATCAGCAACTCTACTGGTAAAATATTAAAATAGAAACTAGTAATTACAACAGTGAAGTCCTCTAATGGTGAAATGTACATTCAAAGATACAAAAGGCAGCAAAGATTCAGTATATATCATGCAGCATTGAATGTTCTACAATACTGAATTACTGTATTTGCAGACGTACAAATTCATTAATCTACAGTAAATAAACATATATAGTGGGCTGCACAGTAAATGCCTTAGAAACATATAACGTCAATGCCGACATTTATTTTGCATTCACAGAAAATTCTGAAGAAAGGCAGAAAACTAGGTGGAAAGTTAGCAATGCAATTTGCTGTAACATCATAACTGTATGTTACAGTCATTACTTAAATGTTAATATCTATTAATTTAATGTGTTTTCTTTCAGATTCCATTGAGTGTACAAAATGTCCCTTGGAATACTGGTCAAATGAAGACCAAACCCAGTGTATCTTAAAGGAGACTGAATTCCTGTCTTTTGGGGAGAACATGGGAATAGTTCTGACAATGTTTTCGTTGGCTGGAGCATGTTTAAATTTAGCCATAGGTTTTATATATTTCCACTTCAGAGCAACACCCCTTGTTAAAGCCAATAACTCTGAACTGAGTTTCCTTCTGCTCTTTTCATTGACTCTGTGTTTCCTCTGTTCACTCACGTTCATTGGCCAGCCCTCTGACTGGTCCTGTATGTTGCGCCACACAGCATTTGGGATCACATTTGCTCTTTGCATCTCCTGTGTTCTAGGGAAGACATTAGTAGTGTTAATGGCCTTTAAAGCCAAAATGCCTGGCAACAGTGTTCCAAAATGTTCTGGGCCATTGCAGCGACTTAGTGTTTTTACTTGCACAATCATTCAAGTATTACTATGTATACTTTGGTTAGCATTATCCCCTCCATTCCCATATAAAAATATGGAATACTTCAAAAACAAAATCATTTTAGAGTGTGACCTAGGCTCAACAGTAGCATTTTATGCTGTGTTAGGGTATATAGGATTCCTCTCTGCCATGTGCTTTGTACTCGCTTTCCTGGCTCGGAAGCTTCCTGATAACTTCAATGAAGCCAAATTCATTACATTCAGCATGCTCATATTCTGTGCTGTCTGGATCACCTTTATCCCAGCTTATATCAGCTCCCCTGGAAAGTATACAGTAGCTGTAGAAATATTTGCTATTTTAGCTTCTAGTTTTGGTCTGCTTTTTTGTATTTTCCTTCCTAAATGCTACATTATGCTACTTAAACCAGAAAAAAACACAAGAAAACATTTGATTGGCAAAATGCATTCAAAATCACTCTAAGAATCAAGACTGTAAAAAAGAACATAGTACTTTTAAATGTATGTCTGCTTTTTATTATGACGGGAAAAGTAATAGGTTTATTCCATGCTGAAAAGAGAAGAGAGAAAACACAACGTTTCGGCTGTGAAGTCTTCTTCAGGTGTGAGAAAGACAGGGCAGACAGCAGAGATTAAATAGCACAGAAGAACACAGAAGAACACAAACTGGGAGAGGGGAGGAGGCAGGAGGGGCAGAGAGGCCACTCAGGAAGTGTAAAGTGGAGAGGGGTGAAGAAGCTTGTGTTCTTCTGTGTTCTTCTGTGCTATTTAATCTCTGCTGTCTGCCCTGTCTTTCTCACACCTGAAGAAGGTTTCACAGCTGAAACATTGTGTTTTCTCTCTTCTCTTTTCAGCATGGAATAAACCTATTACTTGTTCTTTTGCAGACGATGAATGCTGACGCAGCTACTCACTCACCTAAAGAGAAAATAGTTCAATAACAGGGCTTAGATAAGAGTGCAGCTGAAACGAGAGCAAGGAGTTAAAGCAGGGCTTTCCAGATCTGGGCTTGGTGGGTTGGAGTGTCCACAGGTGCTCTAAGTGTTAAAGCAGCAGCACCTGAAGAGCTGGGAGATGCTGTTAAATTAGTTCAACAGTGAGCTGATTAGGGGTTATACAGTAAACAACCCTGATGATCTCGAGGACCACCGACCTCGGCCTGTTTCGGTCTAAATTGAACCAGTTAACTAACTTAAATTGATCAAACCACAGGTTCCAAGTCTTTATTTGGAAAGTGATGGTTTAAGGCTGACCTACTGTACAGTATGAGACCTGCAGGACTGTGGCTCTCCAGGACCAGGCCTGGCCACCCCTGCCCAAGGCACTGGATATACTGTACAGCACCCAGTAGGGAGCTAATATATTGGAGCGCTACAAGGCCGGTCATTTCCAAAACTGATACAGTGCTTTACATGCATCAACAAAAGCATTCATTTACTATATAAAAATAATGTTTTATATATTTTATAAAGCAGAGATTAAACAAATTAAAACTACAAACTCCTCCAACATGAGAAATGAAACTCATCTTTAACAGTAAGATGCCAGAATTGAATTCAATACTTGGTACTTTCGTGAATTAATATTGTGAAATAAATATGCTATTTGAATTTAGGAATACATTTTTGAATATTGTGTTAAAATGCTTGAGTGTTCTGCTGCACAGTAAATGATCAAACAGTGAAGAAAGCAGTTCTGACTATTTAATTCTACCTTTTTTTAAATCACATTTCTAAATATGATACTTTCATCACTAGTAGAAGGGATATTGTTTAAATGAAACAATGCCTTTTACTCAGTTAAAGCTTCTTGTCACTTATTAAAAAGATCAGATTCACAGACATGAAAATAACAGCTGCAATTTAGTTTTCTAGAGGCAGATTAAAAAGACCTTTGAGATTTCTTACTAAAGAATGAAATTAGAACTACAGTAACGTCATGTTTATCTCATCACTCCAGAGACATCAGGTTTAATATAAATAAATTAGGGTGATTTGGCTGTGATGAGAGATGGGGATCTTTCTGTGCTTTAAGATGTTATCACAAGTCACTGTACTGACAGTGGTTGTGCTAATCTCATCAGCAGAAGAAACTGTTTGTAGGCTTGAGGGAAGTGCAGCTATCCCACCTTTATTTAAGGAGAATGACTTTATGATTGGTGGGATATTTTCAATTCATGCTGAGGTTTTGGCTGAGACTTTTCCATTTACAACAAAACCAGAGACTCTGAAATGCAAAAGGTTAGTTATAATTTTTTTTTTTCACTTGATATAATCAGTCCCTGATGCAATAGTCCTTTAATAAACTAGATGTCTGCTTTGCTTCTGTCGATACTTGTCTGTTGTTTTATTTTATTACTTACAGATAGAATAGTCTTATATATCTGTATTACATTCTATATATTGACTTTACACTTTATGTTATCGTAGTATTCAGAGCTTTAATATGTAATATGAAAGATGAAATAAAACAATACCAATTTGACTTGTATTTTTTCTAGACTTAGCTTCCGTGAATTTCAGCTAGCACAAACAATGATCTTTGCCATTGAAGAAATAAACAACAGGACAGATCTTCTTCCTGGAGTGTCTTTGGGATATAAGATCTATGACACATGTGGCTCCATATCTTTGGCAATAAGAGCAGCCATGGCTTTGATGAATGGAAATGAGGAAACTCTCTCTGACACCTCCTGCTCCAGACCAGCTGCAGTTCAAGCTATAATAGGAGAGTCGGGATCTTCACCCACTATTGCAGTTTTAGCAGCAGTTGGACCTTTTCATATCCCCGTGGTGAGATATGTTTAATAAAGGTTTTATTTACTAAAACAACAAATACAGCTACAACAAATACAGGTACCATTACCTATTATTATTATTTGTAGAACATTTAAATTCAAAGGAGAGAGAAACTCGTTTTTAATGTGAATATATAAAGAACCTATTTTGATCCTTTAGAATTTTCTTTTAACAGATCAGTCACTTTGCTACCTGTGCATGTCTGAGCAATAGAAGGAGATTTCCATCATTCTTCAGAACCATCCCCAGTGACTATTATCAGAGCAGAGCTCTGGCTCAGCTTGTGAAGCACTTTGGATGGACCTGGGTTGGAGCCATTAGAAGTAACAATGATTATGGCAACAACGGGATGGCTACTTTTGTGCAAGCCGCCCAGCAAGAGGGGATCTGTATTGAGTATTCAGAGAGTTTTTACAGAACAGATCCACACCACAAAGTTCTAAAGCTCATAGACATTATAAAAAAGAGCACTGCAAAAGTTATTGTGGCATTTCTTGCTCAAGGAGAAATGAATATTTTATTGGATGAATTATCCCTCCAGAAGGTAGCTGGTCTTCAGTGGATTGGAACAGAAGCATGGATAACTGCAACCAATCTTGCAACAGCACAAAATTTAAGAGTTCTGAGTGGATCAATGGGGTTTGCTGTTAGTAACTCCATGATACAGGGGTTGAAGGAATTTTTATTGAATGTCCATCCTTCACAAGCTCCTGGCAACGATCTCCTATATGAGTTCTGGGAAAAGGCCTTCAGCTGCTCTTTTAGAATTGAAGGCAATACTGCAGATCAACATGCTTGCACTGGGCTTGAAAGCTTAAAAGAACTAAAGAACCAATACACCGATGTCACTGAATTGAGAATATCCAATAATGTATACAAAGCTGTGTATGCTGTTGCACACTCTTTACACAATCTACTCAAATGCAAAACAGGACAAGGATCTCCTTCTAATTCTAGCTGCATGAGCAAAATTAAAACTGAACAGTCAGAGGTAAACTACTGTTAAAATCTGTAGTGCGTTAACAGTAACATTAACACTCAAATGTACTGTATTTTTGTTTGTCCGTCAGGATATCTTCAGTTCAAAATAATTGCGTTTTTCACAGGTACTTGAGAACCTCAAAACTGTCAACTTCAGGGCTGAAACTGGAGAGCAGGTCTTCTTTGATGACAGTGGAGATCCAGTTGCGAGGTATGAACTAGTGAATTGGCAGCTTGTAAACGAGAGCACCGTCCAGTTCACGACCATCGGTTACTATGATGCTTCACTGCCAGCAGGTCGTCAGTTTGTCATGAATCAAGTCGATATTGTTTGGACCGGTGGGCAACGTGAGGTAAGTATAAGATAATCTTCTAAGACCAATTACACTTTGCTGTAACAGTTTTGTAGATTGTTTATCCCTGGACCTACAAGAGTATCAGTAGAAAAGTGTCTCACGCTAAGACATAGCCTAGCACTACAAGCAGTCAACTTGCACTGTTATTCTGTGAATGGTTAGAAAATCCATGGTTGGATGGATAATTATTAACTGACATTGGAGTTGTTGGATGGAGTGATTGTAGCGCAGTGTGTTTTCATTTGGGGTTCAATGTCAAATTTTCATTAAGTAACACAATGTGAAAATATTCTCCAAAAATGTAATACACATTTTTTTGTTCAAATGCAAAATTTAGATTTATTTTGTGATAAGCACGTAGCCCATGTCACTGTTCCTCCACTGCAAATTGTTTTGTCCTTGTTCTGCAGAAGCCTGTGTCAGTGTGCAGTGAGAGCTGTCCTCCAGGCACTCGAAAGGCAGTTCGGAGAGGAAGGCCTGTGTGTTGCTATGACTGCATACGATGTGCTGAAGGAGAGATCAGCAACACTACAGGTAAATGTAATTTAAAGATAACGGAGAGTTACTAAAATTTCAACAGTCATTATTTTAGTACAGTACATACAGAATTTGGAGGCTTACAACATATCAGCAGTGTAATCTTACGATGTGGAGCCAAATACCTAACCTCATCAAATCTTTGTATGCTAAACAAGGATCAACAAGGCTAGTTCAACAATCGTAAGACAGACCCCAAGTGGACATTGGGATGTTGTTCGCAATGGTTTTGATCTGTGGAAGGCAGTGCTCAAATTTAATTAGTACATGCTGTAGGAGACTGTTTTTCAGATGGATTGTTAAGCTAAGGTCCTGTCAAACTTGCCGTGTGCAAGAAAGAAAAATTGTACAGCAATATTATAAATGACACCCATGCTCATCCTCTTCCACTAAATTCCAATGTGGACATTTTCAGTTTGTCCTACACACTTTAGATATCCACTCTATGTCTTAATTGGTTCTGTTATTGTGTAATGAGATGCTGCGTATACTGTAGATAATAATCTCTTTCCTGGTTAAGATGCATTAGGCAATGTGATGAATTAGTGAGGTATGATTTCATCCATCCATTTTTTAGCCACTTTATCGAATACACGGCCATGAGGGAGCTGGAACCTATCTCAGAAAGCAACAGG